CGTTCTGTTTAGTGCATGAGTGAAGCACTCCTTGATACCTGTGACAGGATGAGTGACAGCTACAGTGATACAGACAGATGAGTGCGAGTGTGTGTGCATGTCGGACTGGGTATGTGTGGGTGTGTATCTGTCGGGCTGTAGTTTGAAACTCTCTGAATGATGCTTAAAGGCAGGTGTGATGGCTGGAGCGATGAGGTAGCCCCTCTGTAGAGAGAAAGAGGTGCAGTGCTTCCTTTGTGCTGTGCATGCCAATGAAGAAGAGCCCAGTTAAAAATAGAGCTGCAGTCACACAACCTTAAATATTTAATCTCCTACATTCTCTACACTGGAAAAGAAGAGAGAAAGTAGGGATGGATGAAAGAAATATTGAGACTCCACAGGCAGTATTTTAAAGGGATAGCTAAAAAATTGTAATTCGGTTAAAATTTACTCACCCTGATATCATTCAAAACTTAGGCTGGGCTATATGGCCAAAAATATTATCATTAATTTATCGCCAATAATGAACATTAATTTTTTTCCCCCATATCATACAATATCAATATTTATCATGATTTTCATTTACCATTAATGAGGAAGGAAATGATTTCCACATGTCTGTTAGACCTTGAGTATGAATGTAAACATAGCTTGTTTGTTCACAATTAAACTCCACAGAGTAAACTTTTAATTTAGGGCGCCATTAAATCAGTTTTATTTTCCCCAAAACTCAATGTTTTCCATTTATTTTTGCATTCTGTTTTATGAATTAATACAAATGTATCTTCAAAAATGGTGTCTAATTAAGTGAATTAATAAAACAGCTCGTCCTCTAGCCAATCAGTCGAAGAGGGGAGTTGATGTCACTCCAGTGAGCCTCATTAGCTGCCAATGCTCAGTATTCACTTGTACAGGTGAAAACCATAGACTGTAAAAAAAGATGGACGACGCACCTTCGATCTCTTCCACTGAAGAAAAGTGAAACCGCCATTGTCCCAACAGGGCATGGCCATATTGCGCTGATTTGGAACCGGAGTCTGCGCAGTAGAGAACTCGGGACCAGAGTCTGTGCAGTAGCGAACGAAGTGGAGCCGCGTCCCGCCCACACTCCCGCAGAGTCGATTGCAAGCATATACCCCTGACCCTGTTTTAATTAGCCTGACTGCTCCAGTTTTTGTCTGCTGAGAGGATTGTGTTAAAATAAGGTAAATACAACTCCAATATCCTCCTAAAGATCCCGAAAAAGTCTGTTGGCGCCTCAGTTCACTCAGAGAAGCTGTCAGTCTCAGCTGTTAATCATGACGTCACACTCCTGTTTTTATGGCATCACTTAACTAAAACCAAAATTATTTAAAATTTTGAACTTGATACTTGAACTTACATCAGTGTGATAAAATCTATATCAAATGACAAAAGCCATCTTTGGAAAAAAAATTTTTGAAGTGAAATTTAATTATTTAGTTTGGCCCATGTAATTGCAAGCATATACCCCTGACCCTGTTTTAATTAGCCTGACTGCTCCAGTTTTTGTCTGCTGAGAGGATTGTGTTAAAATAAGGTAAATACAACTCCAATATCCTCCTAAAGATCCCGAAAAAGTCTGTTGGCGCCTCAGTTCACTCAGAGAAGCTGTCAGTCTTAGCTGTTAATCATGACGTCACACTCCTGTTTTTATGGCATCACTTAACTAAAACCAAAATTATTTAAAATTTTGAACTTGACACTTGAACTTACATCAGTGTGATAAAATCTACATCAAATGACAAAAGCCATCTTTGGAAAAAAAAATTTTGAAGTGAAATTTAATTATTTAGTTTGGCCCATGTCCCATTAGATTGCATGGAGAGGGCGGGGTTTATGACCTATACTGGGACCAGCCACCTGGGGACGATCGAAACGCAATGGCTTCACTTTTTAAGACTTGTGCGGCACACTTGGTGAAAACGCATAACTGTCAGCTAGGGTAACATCTTTCCATACAGGACACCGTTATATGTGTCTGCCTGTCACTGTTGTACACCTACCTGGCGATCCATTACCATTAAATAAGCCATCCTAGTGACCCGTCACTGGTATATTCACCTAAATTTATTCGCTTATAGTTACATCACGAAAGGCAGTAGCCACTATATGCACCGGCCTTGCCAAGTCACTTTTATATGTGCCTGGCTTGCCTACACCTGTTAACTGTTAACATAATTGTTAACTGTATCTTATTTTTTTGTCATGTATTGTTTTTTGAAAACAGATTTGCAGCTTTGTCTTTCATGTACAGTATGTCATTGATAAGGTTGTTGGTATTGTAAGATTTATCACATTTTGTGTTACTCTGAGATTATAAAATGACATACAGTTAAGCAATATCACACGAGGAAGAGTGATGTTTTCACAAATATTAGCACTATTACAAATGTTTATTGAATTGTAGTATAAAATCAATACAACAAGAAGTAAAATTTCAGTGCGTTTTAAACACAATATTGTAACTATTTTCTCATTTTGCTCTATTTGACGAAAAGTCCAAACAAAGTCATAGCAGAACAGTGTCCTCTACAAGCAAGACACCGCAGCCTTTCATATTGAATTAATTGGTTTCCGTTTGAACAGATTGGTCAAGTGAATGATTCACTTTATTCCTCACTGAATGAATCCGCCGTTTGAACGAATAATTTAATGATGCACAGTAACTTGCCGCCACCTACTGGCTGTTGTACTTTCATATTGTTGCTATATTCATATAAATTTAAAACATTAATATGATAGTGTTATGCAATTATATATGCAGCTACGTAAATAAACACAACTCCCCTCTTCAACTGATTGGCTGAGGAGGAGCTGTCAATCTAGAACTAGTGGACCAATGATGACGCTTAAGCCCGCCCTAATTTACATGAAACTCTAACCGCAACATTTGGAAAAGCAAGCGCAGAACATGGAAACAAGACTGAAGGGAAAAACAGCATAAGCATACAAAAAAGAAAAAAATGTCTGAGCATAAAAAAAACCCTGAAATATAAACAAGGAAAACATGATTTTGTGTACAAGTCGGATCATTTTGCATTAATATTTCAGTTTTGTGCAATATGACTGTAAAAGTGTTTACATTGTTTGTTTCATGCTTATTATTTTTAAAAAATGCGTTGTTGAATATTTGATTTACACGTATTATTTTTCTATCCGTGACCATTGTTTGTTATTCTGAAGACTTTGCTTTCATTTTAAAATTGTGTGCAATATATTTTTACTTGCGTTTTTTTAAATTTTGGTTTCACGTTTATAATTTTTTTTTATCCGTGACTGCAATATTTTTGTCCGAAAATTGATCCCATTAGGTTTTTCTCATTCTTTTGCATGAGGAATACATGGAAATTCACAAATACTGAGAAATGCAGACTGAATTTAGTTCTAAAACTATTAAAGCTTGCTTGTTTGTTTTTAAAATAAAAAAGTTATATTTTTGGCAATTATAAAAGCCTTTTTACACCGAAATGAATAAGCCTCAGGCTGAAGGGGAAGTAAATTTACGTCCGTACAGTAGAATGCAGAAGAAGAAATTTCAACACAATTCAGCAATAAAAAAAAGACACACAAATGTTTGTCTAGAGTAATTTTTGCTTATTAGTATGGTTGAACTGGATCATCGAAGGTCAGAAGCAAAGACATTGGTTAATAGAATGGGATTAAACACATTAGCATTTAATTATTGCAGGTTTGCGTCATATTCTGAGTTGCATTATTTTTATTCATTTTGAGGAATACTGAATCTGTTTTTTTTTTGTGAGTGAGATGAATTAATGCATATTCATATTTATTTTAGAACTACAGTAACATCTTCTGATTTATCTCAACATGGGGACAGGAGAGCTATCAATCAATAAATTTGAAAAAAAGTAACTTGCATTACTTATTTGAAAAAGTAACTCAGATTTTCTTAAATTAAAAAGTAACGCATTACTTTACTAGTTACTTGAAAAAATAATCTTAACAAAAGTAATCTGATTATGTAACTCGCATTACTTGTAATGTGTTACCCCCAACACTGTTGGTGAGCATAAGAGACTTTCAAAAACATTTTTTTTTAATTCCGACAACATACTTTTGAACAGCAGAGTACTTAGTGATTTTGAACACCTGACTGGTTTGAACACCTTGAATATAGAGATTAAAGTGGAAATTAACTATAAATACAATACAAAAATAAATACAAAAATAAAATAATATAATTTAAAAATGAATAAATAAAAATGTAATTGCTAAATAATGACAAAATTGATAGATATAAAATTGAAAGTTCATTAACTAGATCACTGTGTATATTTTTAAAGGTTGTAGCCTTTAAAAAGTGTGGTTTCAGTGTGTATTTTTAGGGACACTGTGAGTGAGTTTTATTATGGTGTGTTTGTGTTTTAAATAATAATCTGCCCTGTCAGCTGAGCTCATTTGGTTATAAAACACGCAGGCACACAAAATGGAAACTTTCATTCAGACTGCCTTCATCTTACCCGTATCTCTTGGCTTTCCTCTAATCTCAGACATTCACTTTATATACCCCCAGATAAACTTTAGAGTCCATCTATGAATTTTTCTGATTCATAAGCCATACAAAATCATCAAACGGCCTGTTATAGTGTCTACCCGCCTGTCGATTTCAGGAAGTGTACCCCCTCAGCCATCACAGTATGACACACCAGGGCATAATTTAGCAAACATCAAGCAGAAAATATTGTATCTCCTCTCTGTACCATGCTCAGCTCTTGTGCAATCATTTGGTAGATTCAAGGGAGCTTAAAGTACCTCTCAAATCTAGAAGACACAAATTTTTCTCCCGCTTCATAAAAAGCCACAGGGGGTATCAGTCCAACAGGGATAAGCTGGCTGCACTGTCCTTAAATGGCACCGCAGACAAGAGAGTGGATGAATTATCATGGCTGGCATGGTTAGCCTTATGTGCCCTGGCCCCATCCCCAGAGTTCTGCTATCTCTCCCAAATCGCTCTCAGGAGCGCCCCCTGTTGGTGTCACCTTTTGAAGTGGCTGAGCAGAGTCCCAACCAGCTCTCCGATGCGGCTATCCCCCGCTGGCACCATCCCCTGCAGGCACACGATTAGGTCCCGGTTGTCTTTGGTGTGGAAGACAACCAGCTGGTCTTTCCCAGGGGAAATGCTCACTCCGGTCACCTGAGACAGGAAGAAAGGGCGATGTGAGTTAAAACAGCACTCATACAGACACACAGCAGGCCAGCATGCACTAACAAGCTCTGCCATAATTTAGTTCTCATTATAGCGAACCTGCAAACAAGGGCCATGGGTTTTGGAGGTGGACTCACAGGAAACATTATACATCTGTTGGTATATCGAGGTGTGGGAACAAATCATAATTAGACACATATTTCCAGAGCAGACGACCTTCAGAACCAGTTGTATTTTAGTATAATTTATATATAATTTATTAATATTTTGAATTAGCTTTAATTTTATATTTTCAGTTTTACTTTTATTTTAAGTTTTAGTAATATCTAATTTGTAAGTTTACATTTTTTTTTCCACGACATTCTAATTTATTGAGATGCACCTGTATATGAATTTAATTTATTTCTAAATAAATAAATAAGAATAAAAGATTAATAATAAAGATTAATAATAAATGTTGCAATTCGACAAGAAAAAAAAAGAACACCGGCAAAGATGGAAAGGACAAAAAAAATTGTCAATGTCTTTATGGAATGGCAAGGCAAACTCAGGTTAGCAAAATGGAAAAATACAAAACATTCATAAAAAAAATGTTTATTTCAGTTGCTCTGAAAAATATGTTTGAAAATGTTTAAAAATGATTAGACTGCTTGTTTACAGTCATGAGCATCAATTTTCTTGGTCACCACTTGACAATTTCTGTCTCAAAAAATGGCATAAACATTCTTCAAAAATATCTGAAACCAACATGAATAAAAAGATTCAATTTCCAAGACTTCATTATAAAACTAGACTTCCAGACATCCTTATTTGACCCCAAATCAATAGCAAGTCTCCATAAACAACTGCTTTTATCAAGATGAAACACCTGAAAATGTGATGCAGTTTCCTTGAGGTAAAATTTCTTTGTCTTCCATCCGCTTCATCACTCTCTTATTCACCCAGATAAGGGCTAGGGTCCAACAAACGCAGTCTGGGCTAGGGTAAAACAGCTAACAGCTAGGGGGGAATCGAGTGTACTGACTCCCCTGTGGATCAGAGTATGCTCAGGCAAAAATCACTAGCTGAATATATTAAGAAACCAAGGACTCTACACCACACTGTCAATACCATTTATCTTGCCCTCATTTATCTTAAAATAAAGCTCGGCTGGATGGGAACCATTTCTACCACGACTAAGACCTTGGTGATGGTCTCATAGAAAAAAGATGCAGGATGGCGACAGCTGGTGTGACCAATTTAGGACCAAATGATAATAGTCATTATGAGATGTTTGAGCAATGATATGAGTTTATAATATGAGCAATTTGTCACTTATGAGTAAATATTTAAAGAACAGTTACAAAAGACAAATGTGAGCAGTCAAACATGACACTGATGACCAGGCCAGAACAAGCTGTGGTATCCGCATAATGCTTGTGGAATTATGGATCAAGCACCCCTGGTCTCTCTAATCGGTAGGGAATGAGTCACATTACCACTGACTTCCTGTGTTCCATGTGATTGAAGGAATTGTATTGCCCCTGCTGTTTAAGCAAATATTCATTATGTAAGTATCATGGATTTTGTGCACTATAAGGTACATATCTTCTTTATCCCTTTCCATAGTAATACTGGCCAATTTATAATAATTTCTTATTATGCCAATAAATGACCCAAACAAACAGGATTCAGGAAAATAAAGCGAACATAAATAGGTCTATGAAGAGCAAACAGAGACTTTAACAGGAGAGAAGAGATGAAACAAAGAAATCCTACAGAAGTGTGAAGACACACGCAAGCCCGAGCAGAAGGAACACACCGAGGAGGCAAATTTGTGCACATGCCGGAATGATACTAGACATCAGCTGATCTCTCCTCCCGCTCCGTCACCATGACAACCCCATCCCCTGGGATGTTGGCATGACAACAGTGGAGAAGGAGACAGATAAAGGAGGAGGAGCAACGTAGCTGAGTTGCAGAGTGGATTGTTTGGGGGGGGAGGGTATTAACGTTTAATTTATTTATTTATATATATATATATTTTTTTGGATTATAGCTCAGTAATATTTTTTTCTAGGACATGGTTCCAGCCCAACCATTTAATAATGCAATGAGTGTTCTTGATATCCTTTTGTCTTTGAGGTGTTAGCTGTCACATAAATCATTCTATCCATTTCCCTGACCTGTGCGTTCTGTAACACTGGAGCAATAAATAAATGTGAGGGGCAGGAAAAGTTCAGCTGGGCTGTGACCTTTCCCAAATCAAGAGATGTTAACTGCTCTTTTCCAGCATCCAGAAAGCAATCAGAGATTTATTTACATAGGATATTTCTTATTCAACCCACTGTACATAGCAATAGCAATAAAACCTTTTAATGTTTCTGTTGTATGATAACATTTTTTTTTATTTAATTCAACCATGTCAATAAATTTCATTTTATGTCACTTTCATAACTCAATTCTCCCACTACTGGAGTTAAATTAGATTATTTATATAAAAAATAAAAGTACAACTGTTTTAGTGCCACGTTACGAGATTAAAGTCATAATATTTTGAGAAAAAAAGTCTAAATTCTGAGAATAAATTCAAAATATTTTGAGAATAAAGTAGATATCATACCTTGTGCCATATACTCACAGGGACAGTATGCTTAGAAATAATATGTCACTTCTTCGAATGCACTCATCATTTGTAGTGCACCAGCCACCCAATAATAGCAATACGCTTTGTGCTTTTTGTACTTTTAATATAAAACAAAGTCTCAGCTTTCAAATTCTGTCAGTTGTATACTGAAATACTAACAATATCTTACAATAATGTTCTTTTAATGCTCTTTAATGTAGCGCGATAGCGTGCTGTATTCGCCTCAGTTTAAGCAGCATGTGAATCAATTATCTTTTCGATTACAATGAGACATTCGTTCCATTAAATTATGTTTTCTTTGTGAAAATTCTACCACCTATTCCGCAAAAAACGTCTTTGGCATCCAACCTTTCATTCCTCACATGTTTCTAATTAAAAACAGCAATAAAACCTTTCCAAATGTTTAAGTGGGTTCCAACTCATTAACTTAAGTTATATTGTCTTTTCTGAGATAAATAACGTTACTATTCACGGTATAATAAATGATTGGAAATAATATTTCACATTTTCAAATCCATTCATTATTTGTAGCGCACCAGCCACCCAGTAATCGCAATGAGCTTTGTGCCTAACACAGCTTAGCTTTCAAATTCTGTCAGTTTTATCACAAAATACAAATTATTAATGTTTTTCCTCTTTATTACAAGTTATAGCACAATATAAACATGAAGGAACATCAGAAGGCATGAAAAAAACAGTATAAACGAATGTCTTATTGTAATCGAAAAGATGATTGATTCACATGCCGCTTAAACTGAGGTGAATACAGCGATCTGTCACGCCACATTACAGAGCATGAAACACATTATTGTAAGACATATTGTTTGTATTTGCTATAAAAATGACAGAATTCGAAAGCTGAGACTTTGTTTCATATTAAAAGTACCAAAAGCACAAAGCTTATTGTTATTATTGGGTGGCTGGTGCACTACAAATAATGAATGCATTTGAAGATGTGAAATATTATTTCTAATCATTTATTATACCATAAATAGCTTGTGAATAGTACCGTTATTTATCTCAGAAAAGACAACAATATAAATATAATATTATTTCCAAGCATACTGTCCCTGTGAGTATATGACACATCCCACATATATTCAAATCAGTTGCCAGGCCACCGGAATGTCTCCCGGTGCTCCCAATCCAGACCATTTGCATCCTCAATATAGGCTATACTCTCAAAATATTATAACTATTTATAAATATTGCTATCACTTAATTCTCGTTATTTTGACTTTAATCTCAAAATATTTTGTCTTCTCGTAATTTAAATTTTATTCTCAAAATATTTTGCCTTTATTCTTGTAATTTCGACTTTATTCTCAAAATATTTTGACTTTATTCTCATATAGCTACGACTCTATTCTCGTAATTTTTACTTTTTTCACAAAATATTACGATTTTAATCTTGTAATCTTAGATTTTTTTATTTTTTAACATGCCACTAAAACGCCATCGTACTAAAGTAAGATTTTTTTTGTAAAATACATTAATACTTCTATGCTGCAAGGATGCAATAAATTGATCAAAAGGGACAGTAAAGATTTATATTTTAGTAATACATGAGACAAAGGGCTTGACCTGAGCCATTTCAAGCAAAATGGAAAAATAATTTAGTGTAAAGCTATGTTATGTAAAGTGACCGTGAATGAAAAGACTAGATGTTCTACAGCTTTAGCTCAAGATGAAATGTTTCAGGTTTACAGATTAAAATAGACTTTATCAACCCTGGAAGAATATAAACAGAATCCAGTTTGATTTAAATATGAGGAAATATTTTATTTATATTAGGGATGAACTGATACCACTTTTTCCAGTACTCACCAACGTTACGAGATTAAAGTCATAATATTTTGAGAAAAAAAGTCTAAATTCTGAGAATAAATTCAAAATATTTTGAGAATAAAGTAGATATCATACCTTGTGCCATATACTCACAGGGACAGTATGCTTAGAAATAATATGTCACTTCTTCGAATGCACTCATCATTTGTAGTGCACCAGCCACCCAATAATAGCAATACGCTTTGTGCTTTTTGTACTTTTAATATAAAACAATATCAAATTCTGTCAGTTGTATACTGAAATACTAACAATATCTTACAATAATGTTCTTTTAATGCTCTTTAATGTAGCGCGATAGCGTGCTGTATTCGCCTCAGTTTAAGCGGCATGTGAATCAATTATCTTTTCGATTATGCTGGTAGTCCACTGTATGAAGAATTTCTGGGTATGATTTGTCACAGTTTACTTTATTTTGCTATCCTCACTTGCATAAATTAACTATAGTGTCCTGCACCCACTAGCAAAAAAATTATATCTGGTCTCTGAATAATTTTTGGCTTGACTGTATATCCTTCGGTTATTTTCACACTTAATTATTCCCATTAAAATGTATTTTACAAGTTTTTGTTACTTTCACTGTTCATTGTTTTGCTCTATGTACATCATCTTTAATTTAGCAGCATTAGAGCTGCTCCATTGCAGCGGTTTAGTACTGTAATCACGCGCTTTGCTGTAATAATGCAGGGAACCACTCGTTATAAATCTCCTAACTGTGATATTTTCAGAAATAGAAGTTGCGTTTTTTTCATCTGAAATGTGCTGCGATTTATATTCCAAAATTATATTATTCCACCATATAATGCAGAAACACTCAAGCAAGCAAAACACGCGCAACGCGTGCACGTATTTGTACTGATGCAGAATAGTACAGCCTAGCGCATTTCACACAAGCTGCTAGTTTCACTTTCACCAGAAAGTCGTGTATGCCTAAAGTTGAAAATAAATTATGTTTATAGTGAATGCCCCTATAAATGGTCTTATTTTTACGATTTAGTTTTAATCCAAATGATGCGTACGTGTGCTAAGTGAGTGAACATCAAAGATCACACAACAGAAGTGCGCGTGCTCTCTCTCTCTCTCGCTCTCTCCCTACCATTAAGTAACTTGTGCATTGTTTTACTTACTTGTTTTTACATATCCGACCGAACTACAAACTTTCCAGTGATGTCGGTGAGAAAGGTATATTCACTCGACAAGCTCGCACATCTGCGCCTGCCACGTATTCGTTGCATACATATCCTTCGTAGTAGACATCCTTAACTCCATTCTGCTGTCGGTGTTTTTTTTGTCTGAATATGGCACTTATCACATGCTGTGTGGTATCGGCATATTTTAACGAGTACGAATACGAGTACAGGAGCTCAGTATCGGGCCCGATACCGATACCAGTATCGGTGCATCCCTAATTTATATATTTGAAATAACTGTATTACAGTACTTCAATCTGAATAATCATCAAATAAATTCTTACAACTGTTCTTAAAATTCAATTGTGACTTCTGGAATTGAAGAATGTGATTGTCACTCTCTTGAATCACCAAACTGCATTTGCACTCCAAATATGAATGACAATCATATTCTGCTTCTGTGTGAATGCAACTTGTGGTATCAAAAAAGGTAGATATTTACATTATAGAGTGGGATGCTCTTCATGGGCTTGTACTGCTTGACAGGGTCCATTTTGTAGAGGTGGCGATCAGTAATGAGCAATGCTCGGTCCTCTGCTTTATTGAAGCGATTGATCTATTGACAATAATATTGCATAGGTTAACATTACATGCAAAGCAAACATCTGACACTGGAACAATGATTCAAATAACTGTCAGTCAGACATACTTTGCGGACATTGCAGGAGAAGAGGACTCTCATGAACTTATCTTTCCTCTGCAGGTCACTGGAAATAAGAGTAAAGGAAGACGCTGTCCCAGGACTGTCCTTTTTCTAAGATCAGAATAAACTTTGTGTTAAACATTGTGAACTAAATGTATTATATAAATTATTTTAAACCAGATTCAACACTAACCAGGTAGTTGCCCTCCCAGGCTCTCTGCAGTCCGAGATCTGCTCTCTGCCCCTTCAGACACTCTAATGTGGCCACTTTAGCCCTGATCTGCACCAATTGCTCTGGAGACAGGTCTTTAATGAGCGTCCAGGCCCACCATCTAAAATATATTTGAATAAATATCTTAAACACAAAGCCATTGCCTGCAACATAAGTAGTAATTGTTACAGTATAATACACACTGTAGCTTAAAAAGTCCACAGAAATATACTGAAACCAAATTGGAAATATAGGATTCAAAATTTCTTTCTGGTTTTAAAAAGTGTAAACGAAGAAGCATTATCCCAAAAAATGAGTAAAAAAGTACTTTTCAACACATATTTGCATGTTCACGGTTGTCTGATATATGTCAAAGGAATAGTTTTCACCCAAAAGTTTTCATTTTTGGGTGAACTATTCCTTTAATGGCCACATGACATGCATATAAACTAAATTAATATGTTTAAATATATGATAACTTATCTGTGTTAACTTAACAGTGTTAAGTGCTTAACTTAGCAGTGTTTTTACTGCTTTTTGTGTTTTAGGTTTTCTATTCTAAAATTTAATTATAGGAATTTTAAATTTTCATGATTTAATTAGGTTTAATTCATTATTAGGGGGCAAACCAAATGCTGAGAAATGATGAAATTCATGTTAAATCAGGTAGATTTTTCACTCAAGTTGTTATGCTGATCATATAAATTTAATTGAAAAAAAGTTTATTTTTGTAAAAAAAAAAAAAAAAAATTGTGGTAGGTGTCATACATTTACTGTGTGACTACAAATCGAAACACCGGAAGTGTTGTTTTGACTTTTGGGTTGTTTTCTGCATTGTTTTCAGGGTCAGAGCTCTTGTGAATAGATCTCCAATAGGACTTTGATCCAAAGATCAATAAGTGCTTCAGGAAACAACAACAGCCCTGTTGAATGCAAGAGAGCCTTTCCTTACTTAAACACCTCAGAGAAGCCTATAGCAAAAAAAATTACATTTCCTTGTCCAACAATGATAAAGAACTGAAAGCATCGGAGTGAGTCAGAGACATTACATTGTTATGGTAACATTTGGCCAGACTGTGTTCCCCACCACATGGCTGACGTTAATGCAGCACAGCTGGAGTCATACATGACTACCCCATGAGTCACACAGAGCACCAGTGAGCCTGTCCACTTCCTGTCTTCTGTAACTCTGACCTGTTATAGATGTTCCTCAGTGCCTCCTCAAACTTGCGCAAGACCTTGGGCGGTGTGGGCCACTTCACATGTTTGCCGTGATCCTTCATGCCACGGACATTTTTGAAGCGCCGGTTGACATCACGGATGTATGACTTAACCTTGTATCTTCTGTATGCCCGGATGATGATGAGGGCGGCACGCATGCGGCGGTAATGCATTCTGGCCAGTGTCCCACGCCACACCTGTGTAAAAGAGTGAGAGAAAGTGTGAAAGATCATAATTAATATTGTTACCTACATTTAAATGCTATTTAACTAAAATAATGGATTGCAATAAATATATATGACATGAAAAAATACTTACTACATTTAAATTTTAGACAAAAGACAAAAACTCAAAAGGAAAAAAAAAAGGTTTTACAAAATGTACCTTAACCTGATTACGTCTATTTTTTTTAGTTGTAACTGAATACAGTTACTCTTCTTCTTGCATCCAGATGCATAATGTCATTTCAAGTGTTTCTGTTACTTCAAGTCTAAATATAGCAATTTTATGTTGTTTATTTGCGTATGAGAATACCCCTGGTAGAAATACAGTATACCATGATGCCATATATAACACATCTGCTCCCGTGTGGAATATAGCTAGACTCTCTAATGATACATATAATCTGATCTGTGGCACCCAAAGTGCATTTCTGAGGGTGTAAGGCCTGTCTTAGACATTAATAATAGATGATAATGGAACTCTTGGGAGCTGTTTGAGTGGCTCAGTACTCAGTAAAAATCCCCACCATATGTTGAATCCACTTTACATTGACTCAGGTGGGAAAAAGTGAAAGGAGCCTTATGTCTGGCAAATATGGCATCATAAACGTGTGGTTGAACTTGAAGTGTTGTCCAAAGACATCAATTCAAATGTCCTTTTCCATAATACCGTCTTAAATATTATGAGGATGCATATTTTTGGTGACCTGAACTGTCACCACAGATGCCTCAAGCATGCATTACACTGTATTCAGTTTAAAATTCTGTGTAAATTAAAATACATATCAGTACTCTAGTAAGGGTGATTCTCTCTACATGGTCTCTAGTCTTTGTCTGTGTGCTAACACTGACCTCAAGGAAGAACTTTCCTTTAAGTTGCTGTGCTACTGTGACTGAACCCATTACGTAACTTAACTGTATGAATAATGCAGAGGAGTGAAGAAACAGCAAGGCTCCACACTCATAATCAGCAAATCTGCTACCAGAAGTCCTACATGCCCAAACTGATGTGATGTACATGATGTACACTAGTCATTTCTGAACACAAACCAAACAATCAGTCTGAAAGAAATATAGCACAATTCAGAGAATAAATTATTGATATTATTGATTAGGCATTAATTATAATGTATTATCGAGTGCATAATGGTAATTAACTTTGCTAATTAGAGGTTGAAGGGTCAATTTCAAATCTTTACAATGCTGCATGTTTCCCAGAATTGCATTCTGGGTTTAACACTCTTTTTAAAACACTTTGAAATGTGCTTTAACTACAATTACCTTATGTTTTGTTGTAAAGTGGATAGAAATGAAGCTGATGATAACTGAAAATAAAAATAATTGCAATTTGAATGTCAAAAGGTATTTACGTATAACATAATAAAGAAAATGCTTATTGCATAACCTACTGATTTGTCAGGCTAAACATCTGAACAGTTTCTGTTCAAGGGGGTGAAAACGATTCTGAATTCATTCTTGACTACTAGACATGTACAGTCAGAAAATGCATGTAAATTTAAATCGAGTTGCAGAAACAACTCCCTTTATACATTGTGTAATGCACACTTAGCCATGGATTTTTATTCACACATGTATGTGTGTGTGTGTATACATATATGTACATATTCATGTATTTATCATCAAACTGAACTAATATTTATAATTTCAGAGTAACAGACAACTCTCATCATGTCAAATTAACAAATAAATGTTGCAAATACTCAATTTTACAAATATTACTAACAAAAAATCTACTTCATGTTGATCATAACCAATATAGCAGAATGTTTGAGTGAAATCAGACTGAGCTGTTCAAATTGTGTTTATGTTTATTTAAAGAGTTGATGATCGCACATTCGCACTGTCCATCCTGATGACATTGGAAATGCTTAACCAGTGGGGCGGACAGACGGTCAGTGTTTGTTTTTAGAGAGGATAGTGGTAGTAGACAACACCCGGGGGAATGTGGGTAAATCAGGCCAATAACAGGACCTCAACTCACCCCGCCCCCCAGCCAGCTTGTCTGATCAACGTTTAACAACCCCAGCACAATACCGCCTCTCCACAGCAGATTTACACACTCATCAAAGCCAAACTGGATAAAGCTAAGACAAAGAAGTCTCACGTAATAAATAATTAAAGCATAAATCTTTCAATCAAACCCCATTGTTTAGCACTTTCTTTTTAAATTTAATTTTCAGTGTTGCCAAACATTTTTTGATTAAATAGAACAAGATCTACGTATTTTAATGACTGTAACTGCTGTGCATACAGCTTCTTCATTGAGGAGAAATGTAAAAATGAATAAAAATAGGCTGTTTGAATCTCTCACCCTGCAGAAAACAGGACAAAGAAATTCTAGCAGAATCTATTCAGATGTGCCATCAGGTGTCAAAAGGCAATTACAGATGGCTAACAGAATGTGAGGTAACTTATTAATCAGAGAGGCAGGCAGGCAAATCCCACAATCCCTCAACACACACAACTTCACACAATGGCAGGACAGAATCACGGTCAGGGTATGTGACAGAGTTAAACGTATTCACAAAAGATACTAACCACAGACAACCCCACAAGGCTCCTTATGCAGCTGTCACTGGCTTCACATTTGACTACTGTAATACTTATCAAATTTTTATATATTCTGAATAAAATGCGAGTGGTGCAAAATTAGGTTGCTGCTATGCATTTGCTAAAATATTCTGAGTGTTTGCAGCATTTTGTTATGTTATGTGGTTACGAAGGTTTTCTGGGTGGTTGCTAGGAGGCTGCTTACTGGCTTAAGACAATACTTAATACAAGTTATACTTAACGTTAAGTAAAGATGTTTGCTTAAATATGAGAAATTGCAGCTGTGAACAGTAGCAAAGCATTTTATTTTTATTTTTTTCATCTTGGAAACTTTTTACTTCACTTCACTCTTAAGCATAATATACAAACATATAGTTACTCATTATTTCAAAATGAAGAAATCAATGTTGCAATTATTGAATAAGCTGATTGTACTTAATGATTCATTTACAAATTTGACTAATCCGATTGCAGTTGTTCTCAAGAGCGCATCTCCAGTTAAAAATGCAGACAAAATATTGCTACTTTTGTAGTTCTAATGTGATTCTGAAGTACTGTAAAGATATATGTAAAAGATGTTTTGATTTATATTTCTTTATTATTTACCAAGATTAATGACATTGAGCACATCTGAAATAGCCCTTTTCAAGGACAGATTGGTAAAGCACTTTCATTAGATGCAGTACATTTCCATTTCCCATTTTGCCAGCAGTGGCATGTCCCCATTAACTGCTGTCTCATGAGCCTTCAGGATGGGGATACTGCAATCGTACATCACAGAACCAGGCGTACATTTCACAAAAACCCATAGTATGACATGACAAGTATAAAATGAAAAAAAGACCCTGTTGACCGTGCTGAGTAAAATATGCTTAATTTTTTTCTATAAAACAGTGTTCGCTAACCACTGCAATCTGACAGCAAAAGGAAGAAGTTGCTGCAGAAAAGATCTGAGCAAAAACAAACAATCCTAGAGGAGGCATAAGGGATTTATGGGAGAAAATATAGGAGATTTATACAGGGAGTCTGACATCTCTATGCATTGAGTGTTTGTTTGCCTCAGCAAATGCAATAAAATACACATTGTGTTTGGCAAGTAGTCTTAAATCTGTTCTATCATTTCAGAAATTAATGATATGGGATTTAACTCCATCCATAAAATAAACAGAGAGCTCCTCTCACAGCAGAAACCACAACTAACATGGCAGATTATGTGGATGCTGGGGCTTGAATGTATTAAATATTAATTAAAAGGGAGGAAATTCATGAATAATGTAGTCAACTCAATGTTTGTGTTTTGTACAGCAAATCCGATTTGCTTCAAACTGCCTCTATTCCAAGCCACATCTTGCTGATGAACTGAACAGAGGGTCATACAACAAGAGACAGCACGGCATCCTGCAAAGGAGCTCGCTGGCAGAGCAGAGGATCCTGGGTATTTTCATCACCTATGGGAGAAGCGCTAAAGTGTAACGGCTTAGAAATGACAGTGGAGTGAGGGGGTGGAGGAAGGCAATGGCACAGAAAAATGGCTGGGAATCTGTGAAGGAGTGGTGGGGTGAGACAGACAGGAAATCAGTGAGGAGAAAGTGGGAGGTGAAAAATAACTGAGCATTGATTGGGGGATTGGGGGTTCTTTTGGTTTACGAGCTTAAAGAAGATGAAAGATAAATGCATCCCCATGTGCTATGCACTGAGAAATGAGAGACAAAGAATAAGGCGAAGCAGAACTCAGTGGCCTACAAACAAGGAGATTTATAGAGATGAGCAGTAACATTTTTAAATTGGGTTCACTGGTGGCCTTTGGCACAAATGTTGGAATCGCTGGCAAACCTGGCAGACTTGGCAGAAGTCAAACTAGTCTGCCATATGCTGATAAATGGATTGTGCATGAAAGAAAGATTATCCAAACCTTAAGACACAAATGTGAACGGTTTCAGTGTTTAGGGCCAACCATAAGCTGGTTTTTGTGCAAAATAACACATTAGCGCCTGCCACTCACAGAAGATCGACACAGGTAATATCAGCTCTGCTGGGATGCTCAGTTATTGCCCGGAGGTATACAACGTGATTAATACACTGACAACATTCCCACAAATAAGTCCCCCCCCCCCCCCCCCCCCCTGGGTGCAGCCAAAAAACCCTTGGGGCGGAATCAACCACACTGCT